CTCCCCTCCCCTCCTCCTGCCCCTTCATCGGGTGCTTCTCTGCAGCTTTCTCCTGAAGGCCCGTGGGGCTCTGAGCCACCACGTCCCAGATGGTCGAGGTGGGGACTCGGGGATGCTTGCGGACTGCCGTTGGCAGGCACATACTTGGTGCAGCCACTATGAAAAACAGAATGGAAGTTCCTTAAGAAATTAAAAATAAAATGACCATGTCATCCAGCAATTCCACTTCCCGGTGTTTAAAGAAAATGAAAATACCAATTCAAAAAGAGATATGCACCACCATGTTCATTGCATCATTACTTACAATAGCCAAGGTATGGAAGCAATCCAAGTGGTTATCAATGGAAATCTTGCCATTTACCGCAACCTGGTCGATGTCTAGGGCATTATGCAGTGAAATAAACCAGACAGAGAAGGACAGATCCCCTTCGATCTTTCTTATACGTAGAAAAGAACCCTCCCACCCCCCAAAAAAACAGCCAAGCTCATGCATACAGAGAACACTTTGGTGATTATAAGCGGAGGGGGTGGGAGTTTAGGAGAAATGGGTAGAATGTGTTTTTTTGTTGTTTAAATAAATTGAATAAATATTTCTAAAGACTCAGCAAATGATATACTCTGTTACATGAATCATTCTTAACTGATATAAGAATGTTAGAAATTATGGAGCAAACGTGAGAGAAAAAATTTGAGCTAATATCCAGCAGTTAAAAAAAAAGAACTCTAGAAATCTAGGACCTATCTATACTATTCACCAAGTTGCTAACATCTGTCAAGAATCCATTCTTTCTACAAATGATGTATTAAATCCACAGCGCCAATAAGAAACAGAAGTCTTATTGGTCTGACGTATTAGTTATTTCTCAATTCACAGTGTTTTTAAAAGCTGCATTGTTTTAAAATGAACTTTACTTAAACTCAATTGCACAACTAGTTTGTAGGCAAAAAAAAAAAAGTGGAAAACAGTTGTATGGGTTTAAAAAAAATTCAAGATACAAAAGAAACCCATTGTACTTTAAATGAACTATTGATCTTTAGGGTTCATTTAACTTGAGCAGCAATAAAAGCTCAGCATGTCTCCCCTGCATCTTTCTGATCACCCTTCTCCCAAACCAGCTAATGAAACTTTACTCATTAGCATCTCCCACTTAAAGGCGTAATTTCTTAGCTGAAGCGCACCAACCATTTCTTAAAGCAATTTCTCCTACTAAATAAGATAATGTAATACACCCTACCTAGAGCTAATCTGACCCAGTCTCCTCATTTTTTTCCAGTTCTGACGAAGCAATTCAGCTGCCCTTTTCCCAGACTGAATATTTGCTCATTTAGGGGAAAATCATTAAAATAAGAAAATAAAAAAATAATGACACATCAGTGTTCAGGAATTAACTAGGGATCGAAACCTACTGGCAAGCAAGGGGCAGTGTGGTCCTGCTTAATATTCCTTTTGGAAAGTCATTCTTGGTGCCACCGACAGGTTCATTTACTATTCCTGCAACATCCAGGGTAGGCAGAGCAGAATCAAACCACTGAATTGACGCTTCCCTGGTCTGGGTTTGAAAGGAGTAAGGAGGGGTTGACCTTCAGTATTTTGAGATTGTCTGTCCATCTGTCAGAATATTCTAACGTGGCCCGGGGAAGAACACAAAGAGTAATGTAGGGGAACTTTTCTTTTTAATGAAGCTATTAATGCTTAGGCTTGCCAGGCTGGATAGAGTTCTAGTGACACACTTGAGGGTTTTATTTATTTTTCAATTTAGTGGCACAAAAAGAGCCCTTTCCCTTGTAGCTGGCACTTAACACTCTGAGCCAATTAATTTTGTGACTTTGCCTCTTCTTTTCAAATGATAACTGGAATGTTTTCAAAAAGGGTTTTTGAGACTGGCTCTAAATCTTCAGTCTTTGGGGGCTGAGCTAGATGGCTGGTCGGATAAGAGCAATCTCCTCCTTGGCACTAGCAGGCCAAGCTGAGCTCATCCACACCGGCTCTGATTCGCTCAGTGCCTGCCATGTTTGTGGGGATGGGCACCAGGAGCTGCTGATCACCCTGGGTTGGTTTTCCTTAAAACTCTTCAGGTAATGGCCGGTGGGGATGGCCCAGAGGACAGGAATGCCAACCGAGCTCACAGTGACTGCCTCACAATTCTGGCTTCAGGCTCTCCGCAGGGGAGACAAGTGATAATGTGAGGCGAGGTCTTGGGCCACGTCTGTGAGTGAGGAGGTGTTGGATGCAAGTGTGCAGGTGTGTTTAGAGGTTTACTTTGAAATAAAAAAAATAGCTATCTGTGACTGTAAGGAAGTAGCATCATAATAGAAATGTGTCTGCTTCAAAACATATGCATTTATCAGGCTTTGAGGAGTGAGAAAATACATGTGTTTCTGAAACTCTGGCAACTTACAGCAAGGTTTGGATGATAATAGTTAAGATTAAAAAACAAGCAGACTTCTTTTCATGCTTCGGCCTTTACCACAATACCCGTGTTCAAGGGGGAAATGTGGGCGTCGGACAGAGACAGACCATTCCATTGACAAAACAGCTGGAGCTCAGAGAAGCAGAGACTGGATTCAAATCTTGGTCTCAATCACTGGCTTTGGATTTAGGGCAAGTTGCACAAGTTTTCTCAGTCTTGGTTAGTTTGCCTATGAAATGGGGCACATAATAACTGTTATTAGAATGATCACCATTATAATTCACCATCCAAACCAGGACATTTTTTAGAGAGGAGAAAGGCTCTGTTAATAAGTATCGGCACCGTTCCAGGCAGACCAGAATTATGTTTCCACCAAGAGGATGTGAAAGGGTATAAATACAGTGTTTGCCACCTAGCAGGCACTCAACAGACACTTAATTAATTCCTTCACATTCTCCTTTTGACTTGTCTTTCTTTCCTGCTTCCTTCATAGTGTTTAGCTGGTATCACAAGGGGAGGGCAAACACAAAGGGCATCTTGGCATTAGGACAGGCTATTCTCAACTCCACAGCCAGTGTGGTCTTCTGAAAATATCATAGTATGTCACTCCTTTACTTATAACCCTCCAAAGGTTTCCCAACTTACTAAGAGTCAAAGCCAAAATCGTCACAACTTCCTGCAAGGCCCACTCACCCTCCCCACAACTCCAGCTTCGGTGGTCCCTCATGGCACCAGGCCAGCTGTCCCCTCAGCCCTCAGGCCTCTGCTCTTCTGTCTGTGTCCTCTGCCTCCCAGGCCTCTGCATGGCCAGCTCCTTTACTTTTGGTCAAGC